ACAAGATCCTGACCTGAAGCTCATCCGCGAGCTTCTCCAAAAGGGCCCGATGTCTAAACAACCATCACCACCTATTGGTGCAAGCCAAGATTTGGTAACCCTGCATCGTCAACTCGCGCATCTGAAACTACAAAACGATTTGTTAGTTTACATACGTAACGATCACAGCCCGCCGCGCTGGGTTGTTCCACTCGACCACAGAGTAGTGATGCTTGCCTACGCCCACGACACTCCGGTTGGAGGTCACCGCGGAGCAAAAGCTACCCTCGCATCACTGACAGAAGTAGCATATTGGCCGTCGATGTCCAAGGACGTACACAGCTATGTCCAAGGCTGCCTCATCTGTGCCCAGTTTCAACCCTCCCAGCCGCTTGCTAGAGCACCACTTCAACGCAGGGGAATAACCTTCCCTTGGTCCCACCTGCAGATCGACTGGGTTGGACCGGTTCCCAAATCGGCAAGAGGAAACAAATATATGCTAACTGTAACTTGCAGTTTCACAAAGTGGGTGGAATGCCTTCCAGCGCCAAACGATACAGCCGTCACAACCGCTGTACTGCTGATTAACCACGTTTTTAGTCGATGGGGACTTCCACTCTGCATTGACTCTGACCGAGGAACTCATTTCACATCCAGTGTAATGACGTCCCTGTTTGAACTTTTGGGAGTGGAAGTGAGATTCCACCTCCCCTATCACCCACAGTCATCCGGACAGGTCGAACGGATGAACCGCACGGTCGTCTCTATGCTCAAAAAGTACGTCTGCTCCACTGGGAAGGACTGGGACGTCAAGCTCCCTCTGGTCCTGATGGCCATACGGTCCACTCCACAGCGATCCACGGGGGTTACGCCCTTTGAGATGATGACCGGCAGACTGATGACTCTACCACTGCACCTCCTGTATCACCCAGAGGATGTCAGTGTTGCCACTGCCTATACCGCTCATCAGTATGTGGCAGACTTGAAAACACACCTCAGAGCTACGTTCGCGCACGCTCAGAAGAAACTGGAGACCAACGTAGAAGGCGCTAAAGCCTACTACGACCAAAAGACAACCAGCCGCGAATACGAGGTGGGTGACAAAGTATTCTACTTTCGGTTCGCCCAACCGGCACGCAAAGCTAAGAAGTTCCTGCCCTGCTGGTCAGGACCATTTGAGATCGTGGCAAAACTCTCTCCAGTTGCATACAGGTTACGCATCACCAAAGCGAGACAGGAGCCTGTCTACAAATGGGTGCATGCAAACCAAATCAAACCCTACGTCAAACCATCCCCGCGGGTACAGAGACCAGACTCCCCGCAGGAGGTAGACGTAGTCGCTACATAGTTCTATGCATGGAAATGGAAAGGGGGGAAAGTGCACGTTTAACCCACTAACATGTACTAACCGACAAAGACCCCCCCCCCCCCCCCCCCCCCCCCCCCCCCCCGCCGTCACTTTCACTAACCAAGAGAAACTCCTTCCTAGACCGCTAACAGGATGTACCTACTAAAACCTTACAGAGTACTCTGGTACTTATACTAGGCTCTGATTAATGAATCTCTACGTGCAATCAAGACTTTGTCTGAAACCATACATCAGGATATTGTGTACACATGAGTGGTGAGAGATTTGATGCAGGACCTGCTCAGGGAAGTAAGTTCCACGCTGGACAGCTTGGTTGAAAGTCGTATTTCCCCGTACTTGGTACCACTGGACCTGCTCAAAGTTAGCTTGACAGCTGCTACCCCTCTACTGTGCACCTTTCACAAATCCACCTAGCGTACAGCTTAGGTAGTGCAATTCCCATTCACGTTGATGCAGAAGATTAGAATTCGGTTTCCTGTTACATGTTCCCATAATTGTGACACCTCACATCTATAGGTTTAAGTCGATGCTGAACATTGGTATTTGAAAGGACGGTAGGCATTTCCACTTTGAACTAGAAACCTGACACTCCATCACCTTAACCCTCGAACAGCATGACTCAGAGTTTGAGATCATGGACTCTTTCCTGGGTTATAACTTTGCCTTCGATTTAGAAATTGACCAACAATTACTGATTGAAGGAACCAAATTTGTTAAGTTCACACAAAACCCGCGTGAACTTACTTTGACGCCCAAGACGCTACATTGACAAATTATACGACTTTAATCTGCACATTGGTCGCCCTGGGGATGGAATGGCTCATCACGGCCGTGATAGCTTATTCCGCCTACAGGCGTGTTAATAAACTCCAAGATAAGATGCACTTGCTCACCTACGGTGTGCCTCGTAACCGCGTTCGGGGAGACTCCAAGCGTGAATGTACCACACCTGTCTAAAGGGGGTGAGCAACATTTTCTTTATTATTTTGTAACCCTAAGAGTAGTTCTCATTTTAGTCTACCTCACATATTTATCTGAGTGTTGCAGTATGTCACATTCTTTATAAGCTACACACTGAATGTATGACCTAAGAATGTATTTTATGAGACCTCAAGGTTGCTATGAATTTTCTTGGATGTTATATGTTTTTTTTTTTGGGTTTTCTGTATTTTTTGTTTCTTACTTGGTCACATATTAACTAGTGGTTATGTGCCGGCCCAGCTCAGTCTGTCAATGACTCTGTCTGACGCACCAGCACATTGTAGTACCTCTTAGTTTTATGGTCCTTGTTTTAGCCCAAAGACTGTCCTGATCCACCCTTTGGACCAAAAAGGGGGGAATCTTGGGACCACATAGGTCAATGCGCGTTTGCGAACTATGGATCTCGTACATCACCGCGTGCTCCATAAACTGAACTGTATGGCCGGCGGTGAGATGCCTTTGTGTCCACTCGTGGAGTTAACCGCCCACCGACCTTCCTCCTTCTACACTACTACCTCTCGCATGGACGACATCATCATTGCGTACCACCTGCGTGAGTGGCTTCTTCTCGTTATGCGCGTTGGGGACTATCCCGTTTCCTATCCTCTTTGTGCCTGACCAGGATCAAAGACCAAAGGCGCCAGGATCCAAGACAAAGACCAAAGACAAAGGCGTCCAAGGAGACCAACGTCCTAAGGGACAAACCCACCTGTGCTTCCGACAATCAAGTCGACCTACGTTCATGAGGAACAAACCCATCTGTGCTTCCGACGATCGAGCTTTGGGCGCGATCCCCGAAAGCAAAAGGGGGAATGTTGAGGGTCTGACCTCATGAGGAAATTACTATGCAGTGATTTTCTCCAAAATGACTGTGCTTAAATTGCTCTGAAAAGCAAATAATCACATCAGCGCCAAGAAACTTCATTTCCCATGATGCTTTGCACACGGAAGCATTGGGTGATGTTACCGCCTAGTACCAGAAACACGTTCTGCGCATGTGCGGGAAGCCGTGGAGCTTTTCCCGCGAACTAAGACCATAAATCTTCAGCAGAGACAAAGAAACCTCGTTCTTTTGCCCAGGATACCTGGCGGTGAGGACACGCTTGTCGAACGCTCCGACTTCTTTGAGCACGCGGAAGCTCTAAGAGCCAAGTTGAGCCCACGGGACCGCTGATCTGCTCGTTTCTGCTCCCCTCCAGCTGATGTTTGAGGACACAGAACCAGCGGAGGGAAACAACAACTCCATCCAGCTCTCAGAAACGCTGTAAGTTGTCAAACTCAGCCCAAAAGGAACTTCGTTTTCTTTGTGTCCAGCCGTGGAGAAACACTCGTGGAGCCAAACAACGGAGAAAGCATCAAACCGAAGGACGACGCCGAAAGCTGCGGAGAAACACGGAGAACCGTCAAATCAAAACAGTGAGGGACGCTTCACTGTTCTGGTGATCAGAAACTCATCTCTTTCTCTCATTCTTTCCTTCTCCCGTTTCCTCTATAGTCTCAAATAAGCAATAAACCGCGTCTATTGCTTAAAAAGTAGCTTCGTGTTTTCCTCTTTCGTCCCAAACACGTCCGTCGGGTCATTTTGAAAGAATAAACTGCTTATTGATCATTGTTTGGTATCTTAAAATGGTTTCTGTCATGGCCAGGCTGAAACTAAAAGATATTAATTTGTGATTAATCTTTTGTGTTGTTTCATGATCTTTTGAAATGTTTTGAGTGATTTAAGGTTAAGTTACTACTGATTCTAAGTGCTTTGGAAGTTAAAGTGCAAGTTGCCACCCACACTTTAGCCAGACAAAGGGGTCAGCCATCTTGTATTCAAGACTCCATTTTGAATCCATACACACACACACACACACACACACACACACACTACTCCTTTGTGAGAACAAAGGACCCCATTCATACATCCTCCATCACATGCAAACACATCCATCTTCAATCATATCACATGGTTATTATTCATCTATTCCACTGTTTATTCATTTGACAAATTGTTAATTAAATGTTATAAAATTCAGATTTTTGTGTCCAGTAGCTTTGTTGTGTCGAAGAGAAGTCTCTGCTCCAAGGATTCTACGAACTTCAAGAAAGACTGATAAGAGTTTTGGATTCAATTTTTCCCCGGAAAAAGGGGAATGGTGCCCCGTATATCTAAGAATATCTTAATTAATTAATAAATCAGTAAATATTCCCATATTTACAGAATTTATTGAAGAATCCAAAAGTAAGTTGAAGCTTACTAATTGTTCGCTCCTAATAACCCCAAAAACACACACGCGCACACACACACACACACACACACACATCTGGCATGTCCCGAGCCCTGAAGAGTCCAGCCCTAACACATGCTACAGCAAATCGACACCATCCATCATAGCAGTAACTAGACTGGAAAGTAGTAGCAGAGTGGGCGCCAAAATGTAATCAGGAAGAGGAGTGTGTTAGCCATCTCATCTATTAAAAACTAATTAAAAGTTTCAATTAGGTGCTGAGTGACTCATGGTAAGATTATGCTCCTCGCTTGAGGAAATGTTTATTATCAAACCTGGAAGCCTTGATTATAAAACAACTCTTATGTCTTTGAGACCCAAACAACTCTGCAGATTAAACTTTTCACTAAGATCCATAACTGAAACAACAAAAGGATGTCAGTGCCTCTCAGTAATACCTCGTCTGAGCAGCAGCAGTAGCTTTCCTCTCTCTAACTCCAGATTCAGGCTCAGTCCGTCCGACCTCTTCACCTGCAGGATCGTCCCAGAATTCCTCATGGTTTTAAACTTCAGCGTGACCACACTTGTCGATGTTCGCCTCGACCCGGCAGTCAGTCGGTACAGCAGGCAGCTGCTGCCGTCAAAACTCACAACATCGGAGGCTGCAAAACCAACCAAAGCAGAGTAGAAACCTTCAGGACTTTCAGGTTATAAATCAGTGCAGTTCAATGTGATGTAAAAGGCCAGGTTCCCTTTGGGATGAAACAACTCAAGATAAAGTGCAGAACTTCCAGTGGAAACACTGAAATTATTCGTTTTTTAGATGTTTCATGCCTGAATGGGTCACAATTAAACAAATAGCAACTTTGCAAATATTCTTGTTGAAATTGACTTGAACCGTTACCTTATCGTGGTGGAGGAGTTTGAGTGCCCTAATGATCCTAGGAGCTATGTTGTCTGGGGCACTTTGTGCCCCTGGTAGGGTCTCCCATGACAAATTGGTTTTAGGTGAAGGGTGAGACAAAGAACGGTTCAGAGGATCTTTCATGGATGTATAATCAAAGAGTCAGAGTACCCGGCCCGGAGGGTTACCGGGGTCCCACCCTGGAGCCAGGCCTGGGGTTGGGGCCTGTGAGCAAGCGCCTGGTGGCCAGGCTTCTGCCCATAGGGCCCGGCCGGGCCCAGCCCGAACCGGATACATGGGCTCATCCAACTGTGGACACACCACCCGCAGGAGGAACAAGAAGGAAACGGTGCAGTGTGGAGTGGGTGGCAAACCGAGGCGGGAGCCTTGGCGGTTCAATTCCCGGACAAGGAAACAGGTTTTTGGGACATGGAACGTCACCTCGCTGGCGGGGAAGGAGCAGGAGCTTGTGGCAGAGGTTGAGCGGTACCAGCTAGGCATAGTCTGACTCACCTCGACACATAGCATTGGCTCTGGAACCCAAGTCCTTGAGAGGGGTTGGACACTCTCCTTTGCTGGAGTTGCTCCGGGCTAGAGGCAGAGGGCTGGTGTTGGCTTTTTGTTAGCCCCAAGACTCTCTGCCTGTGTGCTGAGGTTTACCCCAGGGGACAAGAAGGTTGCTTCCCTGCGCCTTCGGGTCGGGGAATGGGTCCTGACTGTTGTTTGTGCTTAAGGGCCAAATATCAGTTCAGAGTACCCACCCTTTTTGGAGTCCCTGGGATGAGTGCTAGATAGTGCTCCATCAGGGGACTCCACTGTCCTGCTGAGGGACTTCAATGCTCACGTGGGCAATGACAGCATGACCTGGAGGGGTGTGATTGGGAGGAACGGCCCGCCTGATCTGAACTCGAGTGGTGTTTCATTATTGGACTTCTGTGCAAGCCGCAGTTTGGCCATAGTGAACACCATGTTCGAACATAAGGATGCCCATCGGTACACTTGGTACCAAGGCAGGCTAGGTTGCAGGTCGATGATAGACTTTGTAGTTATATAATCTGACCTGCGGCCATATGTTTTGGACACCCGAGTGAAGAGAGGAGCAGAGCTGTCAACTGATCACCACCTGGTGGTGAGTTGGATCAGATGGCAGGGGAAGATGCCGTGTAGACCTGGCAGACTCAAATGCATAGTGAGGGTCTGCTGGGAACGCCTGGCAGAAGAACCTGTCAAGACGGTCTTCAACTCCCACCTCCGGCAGAGCTTTGACCACGTCCTCAGAGCAGTGGGGGATATTGACTCAGAGTGGGCCTTGTTCCACTCTGCGATTGTTGAGGCGGCTGTTGCTAGCTGTGGTCGCAAGGTGGCCGGTGCCAGTCGTGGTGGCAACCTCCGTACCCGCTAGTGGACACCAGAGGTTCGGGGAGCCGTCAGGCTGAAGAAGAGGAGAGGAAGGCAGCAACTCCCTGTTTACAGTGGGGATGGGGAGCTGCTGACGTCAACTGGGGCAATAGTCAGACAGTGGAAAGAATACTTTGAGGAGCTCCTCAATCTCCCCTACGCGCATTCCAAGGAGGAACCAGAGCCGGGGGACCTGGGGATGGATTGTCCAATCTCGGGGGCAGAAGTTGCTGAGGTAGTCAAACAACTACACAGCAGCGGAGCCCCGGGGGCGGATGAGATTCGTCCTGGGTATCTCAAGGCTAAGGATGCTGTAGGGTTGTCGTGGTTGACACATCTCTGCAACATTGCGTGGGGCAGTTCCTGTGGAGTGGCAGACCGGGGTGGTGGTCCCAATCTTTAAGAAGGGTGACCTGAGGGTGTGTTCCAACTATAGGGGGATCACACTCCTCAGCCTCCCTGGAAATGTCTACTCCAAGGTACTGGAGAGGAGGGTCCGATTGATAGTTGAATCTCAGATTGAGGAGGAGCAATGTGGTTTTCGTTTTGGCCATGGAACTGTGGACCAGCTCTATACCCATGCAAGGGTGATGGAGGGGGCATGGGAGTTTGCCCAACCAGTCCACATGTGTTTTGTGGATTTGGAGAAGGCTTATGACCGTGTCCCCAGGGGCACCCTGTGGGGGACGCTCCAGGAGTATGGGGTGGGTGGCTTTCTGTTACTTGCCATTCAGTCCCTTTACCAGAGAAGCATGAGTTTGGTTTGCATAGCCGGTAGTAAGTCGGACCTGTTCCCGGTGAGGGTTGGACTCCGCCGGACAGAATTTCTAGGCACAGTCGTGGTGTGGAGTGTCGAGTTTGGTGGCAGGAGAATCTCGTCTCTGCTTTTTGCGGATGATGTGGTCCTCCTAGCTTCATCCAGCTCTGACCTTCAGCTCTTGCTGGGTAGGTTCGCAGCTGAGTGTGAAGCGACTGGGATGAGGATCAGCACCTCCAAATCTGAGACCGGAAAAGGGTGGCTTGCCAACTCCGGGTCGGGCGAAAGGTCCTACCTCAAGTGGAGGAGTATAAGTATCTCGGGGTCTTGATCATGAGTGAGGGTAGGAGGGATCGGGAGATCGACAGGCGGATTGGTTCAGCGTCTGCAGTGATGCGAACGCTGAGCCGATCTGTCGTGGTGAAGAGGGAGCTGAGCCAGAAATCCAGGCTCTCGATTTACCGGTCGATCTACATCCCAATCCTCACCTATGGTCATGAGCTTTGGGTAAGGACCAAAAGAACGAGATTGCAAATACAAGCGGCCGAAATGAGTTTCCTCCGTAGGGTGGCCGGGCTCAGCCTTAGAGATAGGGTGAGGAGCTCGGACATTCAGGAGAGACTCGGAGTAGAACCGCTGCTCCTCCGGATTGAAAGGAGTCTTTTGAGGTGGTTTGGGAATCTGGTCAGGATGCCTCCTGGGGAGGTGTTTCGGGCATGTCCTGCCGGCAGGAGGCCCCCGGGTCGACCCAGGACACATTGGAGAGGTTACATCTCCAATCTGGTCCGGGAACACCTTGGGGTCCTGCCGGAGGAGCTGGTGGAGGTGGCCAGGGAGAGGACGGTCTGGAGCTCCCTAGTTGGGATGCTGCCCCTACGACCCAGACCCGGATAAGCGGAGGAAGACAATGAAATAGAGTTGCAAAGTATCTGAAATATCTTTGTTCCCATTTTACGATCATTTGGTAGGTTCTTCCTTCGTTGGGATTTGGTTGCAGGCTTTTGCTTCATAATAAGTCCACAGGACTGTTTGGTTCCCAACTTCTTTGCTAAAATGCTTATTTTTCTTAGTTTTTGCATAACAGAATCTAAACTGACAAAGTTTCCAGGTTTCTGCAACAAATGTGTGGATTTTCAGAGGAAGCTTGCACAAGGAGTTTTTTTTATTGACAAGGCAGAGGTCATGCAGTGTATGACGGAAACCAGTGAGCCTTACTTTGATACATTTTAGAAAGTTTGTCACTAACAGTTGCAGCCCAGCTGGAGACTGGCTAAAACAAGTTTATTTCATCATGACATTTTTTGTTTTCTGATCCTAAAAATCCAAAATGTCAGCTCTGTGTTTGCGCCTTGGCTACAAAAAAATCTGTTTTATTCAATGAACCGATTAAACAACCGTCTTACTCCTTAAGATCCCATTTGTGTCTGAATCCTGAATGTTTGAGGATTTGAAACAGAAAAGGCTTTTGGTTGATACATCTTTTAGAGGAAAATGAGATATTATGGAGATGCTTTCTCACTGAAACACCAAAGACTTGAATCAGTGCCATGGAGATGACAGAACTCACAGTAAGGACACCCGTAGGCTTCCAGTCGGAGTCCGATCCGCCCGCTGGGATTCCAGTCCAGAGGAATGAGACGAAGGAAACGAGCCATGGCAGGCTGCTGCAGTTTGTACTGAACCACGCTGTCGGCATTGGAGTTTCCTGAAAAGGACTGGAAACAGGCTGCATTCAGATAATATTTATTTATTTAAGTTCTCACCTTAAATATGAAGTTTACCTCACTAATACATTTAGTTTAAATAAGGACATAAATCGTGTTATTTTCTGGTCAATTTTCATCAAACTCGTTGTTGATCATTGTTGGTATTTCACATCAAACCCTGCTGACTGTTAGGCATCCAGATGAAGACGTAAAAGTACAGTAGTAAAATTGTTCGTGCAATCTGATTTCCTTCTTAAAAACTCAATTAGCTGAAAATGTTGAGAGCAAATTCAGATCCTGTTTTACTGAATTGAACATTTTAAAAATACATTTTATAATCATTAAGCAATTTTCCTTTTTTGTTGTGTTTTTTCTTTTTAATTTTCTTTTATAATGTGTTGCTTTTATTCAACTTTTAGCATATTTTAATGCACAGTGTGTGAGAGCTTTATATATGTATTAAATGTAATGCATTTATTTGTGGAGTTCATTAATCCACAATAATAGCATATTTTAGCCCTATGACACCTAAGTCAAAACCGCTAGCTTAAATTATATCGGGGGAAATGACAGAGTTATGTATGGGTGTCACGGTCTGCCTCTATTAGCAGGTGAGATAACCTGGCAGTCAGCTGTTTGTGTTGCAGGTGGGCGTGGCACGAGCTCAACTGATCCTGATTCTGCTAATCACAGGGCCAGGGTATTTATGGAGCGGTGTGACACAACTCCAATGCCGGTTGACACTCTCACCAGGGTAGCTTCTAGCCCAGTGCATTACCTGATCTTACAACAAACTTGTTCTATGAGATCCTGCATGCTCTTGTTTCTAGTATTGCGCCTCGCATCCTCTAACCACGCCTGGAGTTGTTTTCCTCGTCCCGTCACTCAGGATCCTCTGGCTTCCACTCTCCATCGCTCTGCCTGCCTGCCTGCCAACCTACACCCTGGACTCACACAACCTTCTCCTGTACACCTCCTCTACAACCATCGGACCTGCCGCTTCTCCTTCACTGAACTTCACCCAGTCCACCACCGCTAAGAACTGTTTTAAGACCGTAAGAACAATTCAAACACCAAACTCATTATTCTCTTGGTTCTCTGGTTCCGCCTCCTATTCACGGTTGTTTATTCTTTCGTTTTAGATTTCCGGTCCGTTCCTGTTCCTGCTTTTCTGGAGCAGCGCCCTAGTTTCTTAGCTTAAATTAATAAAATGTTTTACTCTTTTTCCTTACCTGGTTTTCATGTGTGGTGCTTCATGTCCTGGGTTAAGCACGTTGCCCACGACATGACAATGGGGTGTCGTTTATAAAATTAAACATTATTTTACAGCAATTATCAGGCTGAGGGAAAAAATGGCAGTTAATTTTTCAAAATCTAATTTTCACCGTGTTATTCATAGGTTTATAAATGTTACAGTTGCAAACTAAATATTTTATTAGGAACTAAATATTTAGTATCTAAACTAAATACTTATTTTGTGAATTAAATATTTGTTTTGGAGCTAAATATTCTGTTAAATGCTCCAAATTAAATTAGATGTTTAAACATATTTGAATGAAATTATGAAAATTTGAGAAAAATGAACTTTAGCCTAAATGTAAAAAACCCAACATAGTACTGTAAACATCGGACTGTGTAATTTACTAAAAGGCACCCCATGAGCCAAAGCATTAAATGCACTGACTAAGGCTGTAACAGGCTGCATTTGTCATTTTTGTTATTGTATTATTCGTATTAATTTCTAGTTTGTAATCAATAAAAATACCTCTTTGTCAGACGTTGAGCTCAGCATCTGTTTAATCAAACATGCATTTCAAACCTTTTTCCCATAGCAGAACAAAACAATCAACTTAAGCAACAAGGACATATTTTGGTCAGTTCGCCCAGTGTACACAAATTTTATTTCAATCTGGATGTTGGTGCACATCCTCAGGGTAGAAGAAAACACACGTTTCTTTAGTTTGTTGGTGATAGTTAGTTTTATCCTGCACTCAGAGTAGCTGACAGCTTCTTTGTTTTTGCTGTATTCATAGAAAAACAATATGATCTGATTGGAATAAAGTTTTGGGAACTTTTCATCACTTCTTCTGAGGCTGAAAAGGGAAAATAGGACAGAAGCCGTAGAAACCAAAAATCAGATAACATTGTTCTGGTTGATCCCTCAGCTCTGATGTCTCTTTTCTTGCACTCTTTATGCCTGCAGTTCATACAAGTACCCGAATGCACTGAGATGTCACTGGGACTCAGCAGAGTGACAGGTCAAAGTGATTTCAGTCTGTAAGAAGCAGTTTTTTTTTTCCCTCGCAGCGCTCCGATTAGCTGGTTTCTCTCCACACGAGGAAATTGCCTCGGCTGAACATCTAATCAAAAGCTCCTCTCAGCAGCGCTGTAACAAATGCAGCTTCACTCTGGATAAACGCTCCTGCTCACACTGAGGATGCATCGTGTTTTTCTACATGATCACTGTTTGATCTGGTATTAAAGCAAATGGAAACATATTTTGTTCTGCTTCACCAAGCTGACAGGGTTTAACAGTTTCAGCTTACAGCTCTAAAGGTCCCTGAACTCAGTTAAACCCGACTAAACCAGGAACCATTTAGGCATTTTAGAGTGTTTACAGAGGCAGTAGAGACCCACATGCAGCAAAACTTTAAAAACTAGCAGAAATGTGTTTATTAAATTACATCCATGGAATGGAAAAATAGAGCCAATCTTTTCCTTACAATAGTCATCACTACTCCTCTGCAAACTCTACAAGTCACCTGGTTAGTTTCTGACCCTAACCCTGACCAGCTGAACAGGAGCATGGTACAACTCCAGCTTTGTGTTTTAATCCAGACAAACAACACAAAACTGACACAATCAGACGAGCCTCCACCCCTTTGTTCCTCTCTGCAGACATCAACAGTAGGTTCAAGTGTTGGGCAGCAGGTCGGCTCAGTCAGCGGAGCTCTTCTATCACTTCATTCATTATTAATGAAGAGTCAAAGGCTCCTGATGGCTGTGATCACTTGTGTGGAATTGGCTGATCCTTGCAGACCAGCACTGTTTAACACCAAAGCCATTGTAAATATAACCGTGGCTAGAGCTACTCTCATTAGCTGATACAGTTTGTGATAATGTGTGCAGTTTTAAAGAAGGGTAACACTTTACAATAAGGTACGCACAATTGTGCTTCGTTACTAGGGAACGACTTAGGGGGTAAGAGTAATAAAGCAGGGAAGAATAGGTAGTTAACCAGTAGTTACTGGTGAAAATGCTCATCAGTCTTTTTTATGGGTCAAATAGGTAGTTAACCAATACTTACTGGTAAACACCCAGCAGTCTTTTTCAGGGCCTAATGGGTAGTTATCTATTTGTGCTTTGTTACTAGGGAACAACTTAAAGGGTACTGAGGAATGGAGCAGGGAAGAATAGGTAGTTTTAGAGTGTTTTTACATGTTGATTTCAAAGTTTATCAATGTAAATGTTAATTTTTGTGTACATTTCAGATTATTTATTGTACCCTAAACATTGAACATTTTGTTAGTGATTGATTTGAGCCAGTTAACACTGTAACCTGCAGGATTTTCGTTACCCGTCTCTGGAATATTACCACATACAAGATGAAAGAAAATGATGTGTGAATAAGCTCAATGTATTTATGATAGATGGCCATGTAACAACATATAAGTAATGGTTAAGTATTGAGTAAGTTCATATTTGTTCCTCAGTAGGTACTTGGGAGGAGGCTTCACTTTCCATCATCTGAGCGCCGCTATGGCTGCTCTCGTGGTATGCCTGTATCTGTTCTGTCTACTGTGTGTGTGTAACCTTGGTCAGGCTGTGCTGCGGAGTCAAGTTCCTATGCTCTGGTTCGCTGGAGCGCTGGTAATAAAGCTTTTTCTGATCTCGAGACGGACGGATGCTGACGATGGATGATCAAGTGGCAGACAAGTGAAATCAAGATTAAACAGTGATGTTAAATCACTGCTATATTGCAAATTATCTGCATCCTTCATGAAGTTTACAAAACAGAGTCTACAGGCACTACATTCATTTGGAATTCGTTCCTTATTGCATTCATAGATAATACCTATTAGTCCCTGAAAAAGACTGCTGGGTGTTTACCAGTAAGTATTGGTTAACTACCTATTAGGCCCTGAAAAAGACTGATGAGCATTTTCACCAGTAACTTCTGGTTAACTACCTATTCTTCCCTGCTTCATTTCTCATTACCCCCTAAGTCGTTCCCTAGTAACAAAGCACACTTTTCCGTACCTTATTGTAAAGTGTTACCTAAAGAAGTTATTTATGCATGAGCTTTATTTCAGATTGGACTAAGCTGGGATCTGATGCAAGTCTGAGCTCACCCCGATGCTGTCCTCCTGCCTGTACTGTTTCCAGTTGTGTCCCATGTCGCTGAACATCAGCAGGTAAGTCGTCAGCCAATCAGAGCTGCCGTAGCGGCCCTGTGTGGCGACAGCAGTGATCTTGGTCCGCTCGCCCAAGTCCACCTGGAGCCACTGGTACCTGTCTGAGGTGAGGGGAGACCAGCCTCCAGCTCCTGCAGGAAGAAGTGGTTTCTACGTGATGATTGGCTTAAATATTCACGATCAGTTGTTTAAGAATTTCAGGCTGACAGCTTGGAGCAGAAAAGACAAACAAGACACTTACAGGCTGTTATAATACCCAGCTGTCATTTTATGTTTATGTTTATGTATTAAGCAGACGCTTTTATCCAAAGCGACTTGCTGTCATGACTCGAGGTAAGTGTCTAACCCAAGACATGCAGAATCAAACTCGACAAACTGGTAGAGTTAAAGAAAAGTACTTTATTGGAAAACGGGAACAAAAATAGCACAGGGAAGTCCTTTGAGGCGTGAGCTGTACAGCTCTTGTCCATGTAGCGCTCGTGGTGAGTGAGGGAGGCGGGGAAGGTGAGGTGAGTGCTGGGCAGAGGGTGAGCGATCCGGGACGGTGAGGTAGCAGAGAGGGTCCAGGTAGGAACAACGGAGGAGGATGGGATGTGGTACAGGTGATCCTGAGTTCAAACGGCGAGAGCGAGGAAGGTTGTGTGGAGATCCTGAGAGGAGGCAAACAAACACCAGACGTGAGGGTAATCCAAAGGCGTAATCCAAAATTCAGTCCGAGTTTTAAATCCGAGTATTCCAAAAATGAGTCAAAAGCGAACAAACAAGTACAAGTACGAGTGGCTGGGGCTACCTAAACTGGAGCAATCATCCGGTGTAGTGAGGTGTCTCCATCCTCCTTTTACACCCGAGTATCTGATTGGGAATCTTGTGCAGCTGCAGCCCCATCCGCTCCTCACCTGTGGGTAATCAGCTCAGAACCGGTTGGATTGGAAAGGGAGTCACTCACCTCGGCTCGGGAACATGACACTTGCAAGTGATAATCGGCATGTTGCCCTTGAGTCTAACAACAACAATAACAACAACAACAACAAACAATTTCCAGCCAGTCATAGGTGGCAGTGAGGCAGCATGATGAATCATTGAGGAGGGAACACGGAGTGGACAGTAGAGAGGGGGACGGGTGCAGGGAGGGTGCTAGTTTAGAAGATGCTCTCTGAAGAGCAGGGTCTTCAGGGGTTTCTTCAAAATCGAAAAGGAAGCTCCTGTTCTGGTTGTGCTTGGTAGGTCATTCGACATTTGTGGAACAATGCATGAGAAGAGTCTGGATTGTCCTGAGCATGGTGTAGGCACTGCTAGCCAACGATCCTGTGATGACCGGAGCGGTTGGGCCAAGACGTAAGCCTTTGCAAGAGGATTCAGGTAGATGGGAGCCGTACCATCTCGGACTTTGTATGCTAATGTTAGCAATTTGAATTTGATGCGTGCTGCTAGAAGTAGCCAGGGGAGCTCAATGAACAGAGGGGTGACGTGTGCTCTTTTTGGCTGATTGAAGACCAGACACGCCGCTGCCTTCTGGACCATTTGAAGAGGTCTCACAGTACAGCCTGGAAGACCAGTTAGAAGGGCATTGCAGTAATTGAGGCGGGAGATGACAATAGATTGCACTAGAAGCTGGGTGGCATGTTGTGTTAGGTATGGTCTGATCTTTCATGTGTTATACAGTGCAAAGCGGCATGAACGAACAGCAGAGACAACATGGTCTTTAAAGGTCAGGTGTTCATCAATCACAACACCCAGCTTTCGAACTGCCTTTGAGGTAGCCAGACATAGGAAGTCATTTTGGATTGAGATATTGTGCTGTATGGATGGTTTTGCTGGGATGACAAGTAGTTCAATTTTAGAGAGGTTGAGTTGGAGATGGTGGGATTTCATCCATTTTGATATGTCAGAGAGACAGTTTGATATTCATGCAGAAACAGTGTGGTCGTCTGGTGGAAATGACAGATAGAGCTGGGTGTCGTCTGCATAGCAGTGGTAGGAATGATCTCACCCAGAGAGGTGGTGTATATGGTAAAGAGAAGAGGTCCTAGTTCAGAGCCCTGGGGGACTCCTGTGGCAAGATGGTGCACGGTAGAGGATTGTCCAAGCCAAATCAGAATCAAATACAGTAAAACTGATGAGAGTCGCTGTTCAAGGATAATTAAGATAATAAAGACAGAATCACAACAGTAGAGTCAACAACTGATCAGAAAATGAAAACACGTTTCACATTTGATGTGTGCCATGAATACACAATAACAGAATGAGACATATTATTTTTAATAGTTAAAGCCTCAAAAACACACTTACAGGCCAAGGTTCCATCAAACCATACCATAATGATAAAAAATAAATGTGACGACCCCTGCGTTCCCAGGCTCCGTTCGAGCATTTTTGATGTAGGACCTTGAACAGCGCCCTCCAGCTCCTGCCCATCTCTGACCTGGAGGACCAGCACCATGGAGAGAGGCACGCTGAGACGCACCCTTTCCGGCCTGCCAGCTGACAACAGCTGCGGATAATTATCACTCACCTAAAGCCTGGTTTATGCTTCTCCGTCAGCTCCGCAAGGGACAGACACGCACGGACTGATGGAAGCGTTTTGCTTGCGTACTTCTCCGTCTCCTGGAGAGTGTTGCAAAGCAATTGCCCGGCAGAACAACAGAGGGCATAGCGCTGCTCTGTGGTATCCTGTCATGTATCGGTCCAAGATAGTGTGTTTATATTGTGTGTTTTTTGTATATAAGAGATTTTTAACATGGACATATTTGTCTCTCATTCTCCCACCGCTTCATGCGCTCCCCACCTCTAAACCCACGTTTCCTGTCATTTCCGTCCACAAATAAAACGCTTGCTGTGCATCTTTTCACTCCTCCCGTCATGGGAGAATTAAATGTTCATATTTTTAGAGTTTTTTCGCGAGGTATTCTTCAAGCTTCTCCGTGTCTGCCGCTAGTTATCCTCGGCTCGCTTTGCAATGGCGGCGCTGTAAACAACAGCGGCGTCCTGACCAATCACAAGCTTGCGTAATCCGTCTCGTTCGACGGATGTTTAAAAAAGTGGGCTCGACTCCGTACGTACTTGCGTGCCTGCCGGAGCCCTACGCAAGGACGGATAATGGCGTTGTGTGTCTCCGCACTGACGCAGACGGAGAAGCATAAATCAGGCTTAAGGCCTCAACAAAATGGAGCTGCCAGAGAGCCAGAAGAAAAAGCACCGAGACAGACACACAGCAAGAGACGGTGGGGAGAACGAGACTCGTTGAACCACCCAGCACTGAGACCTTTCCTGGAGAGGAAACCGCCCACTTCCAGAGAGAGAGAAAGGGAGAACGTGAGACGACTACTCCGTATTGAGTGACACAGGACCGGAAGGAGAGAAACTTGCCCCTAGGCTGGGTACTGTATGTGTGAGCGGACCTGCCCAGACATAGAACCCTATACTTATTACCTTAAAAACAGTTACTTAATTGGAACCTCTGGCTTTTGTTTCTTCTTCGTTACTTAATACTGCCGGAGACACCTTCCGTTAATAAAATCATTGAAAACGTCATCCGTCCTCGTGTTTGCTCCCACCACACTTGTGTTGCTACTCCTGGTAATTCCTAGGCCAGGAGGGGTGTAACAATAAACAATCATCCTTCCCTAATTTCTATTGATTTTTATTTAAAGAACAAGTTTATATATATGAAAAATAATTCCTGTCTCACCCTCTGCGGTGGTCTCATCCTTCCAAGCTCGGGTCCTCTACCAGAGGTGGAGCTTGAGGGTTCTGCAGTATCTCAGCAGTTCCTAGAACTGCTCTTTTCTGGACTGAGATGTCTGATGTTTTTCCTGGGATCTGCTTTAGCCACTCCTCCATGGGGTTACAGGCCGGAGTGCCCTGATGACCACGGGCACCATCAATGTCTTCACTCCAGGCTTTCTTAAGTTCTTCTTTGAGGCCCTGGTACTTCTCTAGTCTCTCATGTTCCTTTTTCCCGATGTTGCATCACTTGGTATTGCCATATCAACCACAACGGCTGTCTCTGTTGTTTGTCCACCACCACAATCTCTGGTTGCTTCACCATCAACTCTTTGTTGGTCTGGATCTGGGAGTCCCACAGGAGCTTGGCTCTCTCGTTCTCCACCACCTTAGTGGGTGTTACACACTTTGACCTTGGGTCTTCCAGTCTATACTCTGCACAGATGTTCCTGTACACGATGCCAGCCACTTGGTTGTGGCATTCCTTGTATGCTTTCCCTGCCAGCATCTTACACCCTGCAGTTATGTGGTGGATTGTCTCAGGGGCCTCTAGCCTACACCTTGGGTCTTGTCTGGTAGATCTTGGCCTCTGTTGCTCTGGCGTTCAGGGCCTGTTCCTGTGCAGCCATGATGAGAGCCTCTGTGCTGTCCTTCAGACCTGCTTTTTCTAGCCAATTGGTTTTCCATCTTCTAAAAATACATGAGTAAACTGTTTTGAATCAACCTGAGTATTAACAGATCACAACTTCATAACAAAGTATAAGTTTTAGAAAAAATAAACTAATGTATTGTTTATGAGCAGTAAAAGAAAATTATTTCTGTATTCTCTCCACACTGGTTCTGAAAGCTGTGCATCAACAGGATTAATCTAGTCAGTCTGCTGCTGGTGAGCTAAAGGCCAGAACTAATAAGCACCTGAGTACCAGACGTGTCCGCTGATAGCAGAACAAAAAAAAAATCACAGATACTTTGCCCTTTAACTCGTGACAATTCGGCTGTGGAGAACCAGGAGGCTTTTGGAAGACTTCCTGAGTCCTTGCTGTAACATGTAAATGAGATGAAGTGATGGCTGAATGTCTGAGCATGCTTCTGTCATGGCTGTCCCCTTATCTCCTTGGCTCTTAAAGCTCACGGTCTGGAGAGAAACCCCTTTAAAAGGCGCGGTGAGCAGAGTTTCAGCACTGGGTCTGCCTGCTCTTCCTGGTGGTTTTGTTCTTTAGACTTTTAGGCTTGTAAAACAAATCACTGATGAAGCTAAACAAACTCTTTCTAGGAACAGTTGTGCAATCAAAAACAATTAATGCAGCTGACAATTTCTCCCCTTGTTCTGCTGAAGTAATGTCTACTGAACAAAAGACTCCTTGAGGCTGTGCATGCAATAAATGGACTTGATTAACTGAAATTGTAC